CTCTTTCTTAGCTTGTGCTTTAATTTTAGAAAATAGTTTAAATTCTTTAAGTCCTTTCTCAAATTATAGGCTCTTAATTATTCTGCAAGTGCATCTTTCTGATATTGGAGTAAGGATCAAAGCAGTTAAAAATTAAAAATTTCTAGGCTACATTTTTATAAAGTTTTAGTTGCAAAGTGCATTTGAGACTCAAAGAGAAAATCTCTTACCGCATGTAGGAACATCTTCTTCAGCTGATGAGGTCTGTTCATCTGTTGATGGCTTTTTCTTTCCTAAACCGATGATCTTTGTTATTTTTTTCCCTGTTACTTTGGTCACTGTGCCCTTGGCTTCTGACTTTGAACTTTTTTTCCTTTTCACTACCAAGAAGCAAAAAGTGTGCATTTTAGTGGGTTTGAATAAAGTGATTAATAGGGAGAACCTGAATTAAAGTAAAAAATCAAACAATCTTCTGCAAATGCACAGTCAGACAAAAGTTGCAGTGTGCAATGAGATATACATTTATGTATCTCATTATTACTGATACCTATATATATTTTTCATCCTACTAAAATTATGGCATATGAAAGGATGAGGAAAAAAAAAAAGACTTGTATTTTATCTAATCTATTCAATGTGAAAGTCTCTTTCCACAGCAGTCATCACTTAATTTATGAATATGACTAAGCTGCCAGCAGGTAGATTTACCTTGTATACATAAGGAGAAAAACCCAACTGGATGATCATTCACTGGTCCTAAACACTTATCCCAAATACTTCAACAATTAAGCATATAACAAGCAAAGAATATGCCTGCCTGGCACAAATGTCCCTGTGATTTACATTAGGTGAAGATATCTTATCACAACTAGCCTTTTAGAGAGACAAGTGGTATAAATTCAGTATTAGCAATTAAATCAGTGGGATCAGGACAATAATTAGAAGCAAGTACTTTTTATGATCACACAGACTAAAAGGGAAAAGAGCTGCAGAAAGAGATTTTGCTAACATCTATTCCAGATTTTCATAAACTTGCTAAGTTACTTGCAATATTTTGGCTCTCTGCACTGAGGCATATTGAGCTACTGAAGGTACCAAGACTAAGGATCATTTTTTTTGCAGGTATCTACCTGAGCAAGTTCCTAAGTAACTCATTGAAAAATAAGAAAAAAAAATGCTAAGACTAAATAGAATCAGAAAGAAACTTATCTGCAAAACAGAATAAATGAAATGAACTTCATTTCAGAAATAAAATTTAGGTAACTGATTTGAATTTCATCAACAGAGCTAAAGTCAGTGTGTTAACTGACCGAACTGTGGATTTATCCATGATCTTGCCCTGATTTACGATTTTGATGAAAAATTCAATTAGACTAGTTACTATTAAAAAATAGCTGCCTTTGCTTTCTCCCCAAAATAGAATATTTAGTGGTTCTGGACTTGAGTAAAGTGAGGGGAAAAAAAGGACAAAATGTTTACATGAAAAATGATTATATGAATTGATGGACTAGGATGAAGAACGCTCTGAAAACAGAAACAGTCTGGAAGTCACCATGGTGTAATTTATCACATTGAGTTTAACTGTTAGCTAACTTGGAAAAATCATTGGAAATTTTGCCTGCAGCCAAGGCTGACAAATCAGCCACCTGCCACATGCAGTTTAGAAAAGAGAAACGCTTTCACATGGGGCTTGCAGCTTATCTGCAAACACCCACACAGTGATTTGTGCATGTGAGCAAAGATCTCTTCATCTCCTTCCCAAAGGATGGTTGCTCACAGCCTCCACCGCACTCTCCAGATGTGCAAGGAGCAACCAGGCCGTAGGGAGGAAGGACAGCCCGGTGCTCCTCACCAATACGGAGAAATTGCAGTAATTGAGCAGGCTGCAGGTTCTGGGGTATGCCACAGAGATCCGCTTATTGAGGAAACTCTGGAAAAGGGCACACGGAGGAATTGAAGGAACTGGGTCACAGACACTGGCAACAAGGCTGATATGGACATGCTGCGCTCACTGTAGCTCACATTGTCCTTCCTCTTGGCCTCAGCAGAAAAACATCCACCTTGCTCTACTGAAAATATCGCTGCTACAGGGCAAGCCAACTAACCGATTCACAGGATTGGGAGAGCACAAGGGTTGATCGTTACAGATCTAACTCACACACAAGTCCCACTGAGTTTAGGAAGGCCTTTGTTAGATTTATAAGGGCCAAAATAAAATTCACAGTTGCACAGTAAACATACGTAAAATCTTATACATATATACACACCTAAACACACTAATATTAAATGATTATGCATGTTATACATGCGCGTATACATATATTTATATATATAACTATATAATATGCATGATTCTTTCATTTCCTTTTAGCATTCAGTGACAGTTGTTTGCTTAAAAACTACACACACACTATGTATGTTGAATTGAATTGAACACTAATATAAATATTTTGAGGTGTTATTGGTTATTTCTTTAAAATATAATCACCAAACCTATTTTACTTCCTATCTTTCTCTCTCTGCAAATATTATTCACACAAAACATCTCTCCCTCTGAGATGTACCTTGTTCTTTGCCATTGCACACCATAGTGATGCCATTTTCCACAGCACCTTCCCCATCCGAGCTCGGCCTTTCAGATGACAACTTCTGCAAGGACAAAAAAGTGATATTTCATGTGGTAACCTGAGCCAAAAGCAGTGTCGTAGATGCATTTAAAATTACAATTACTATGAAATAAAACATATTCCGAACAGTCATCCGCTTGGAAGACAAACAGAAGACAGTCCTCAGTTCAGTTTAAAGGAGTTTTTTACGGTACCATGTAAGCTTTAGAAAAGCACAGTGAAAGCCTAACCACAAATTAGATCTATATTTGATAGTATAATGAAAATATTTTAAGCCAGATAATAGTAATTCAATATATGTTATTATACATTATGTATTTGTAATGCATTTCTAGACTCCACAATATTGCTGTTTCTTAATCTGTCAAGGAATGATAAACAATTACATGGATCAGATAAGCCAAACTTAAAAAATGTTTCTTTAAAAAATACTTCAGCTATGCATATACAACACATCAGGATCAGAAAACAATGCATGCCTACATGGTGTTGGAATCACTAGCTGCAAAGAAGATATTTGTGCAAGAAATCTTTAGTATCAATTATTCTGTAATGGTTGGATAAGAAATATGGGATGATGCGGTATAAAGTTTATGCTGGCACGGTTGTGGTAACCACATTACTCATAAGTGGTGAAGCCATGAAGAAGATATGCAGATTATCCCCCCAAAACCAATGAGAAGTTTTGTTATACAACATCACTTTTTTATGGCATGCATTTCAGAAAGTAACTATTTTATGACATTTTTAGTTACTTGGCTAATAATGTGCAGATGTGCAGAAACACACAAACACAACAGCTTTTGGCTTGTGAAACCAGAATATCTGAGTTATCATGGAACATATTTGGCTCTTCGTTTCCCTGGATGTAATGTACTACTACTGACAGCGGTGTCCTTACATCAAAAGGGTAGAATTTGCCCACAGGAGTTTTGAGATAAAACCAATGGGCCTTTTAAACAAAGTCTTCAGTAAGGTCTGCTCACACAGGAGCCCTTGCAGAGCAGGAGCTTAAATAGATGCCATAAAAGCAGTGTTAATTCCCTGTCCTTTCTCATTCTTCCTGTGGTATCATGCTGAGTCAAGGGAGCTAAGACAACCATATCCAAATAGCCAAGTTCCTGCACGTTACGGCATGAACGCTTGGAAGGGTCTGCCAAAGCAGCGACCTCTGCTTGCCCAGGGAGCTCTTTAAGAAATTAATTCTCAAGAAAAAGGGGAAGACTTTTCCTTAAAACATCCTCAGAGTCTCCAGGTATTCTTGCGTGAGTGTCACATCCCTATCGCTTCTTCTGGTCATCTCCACACGACACCTCATGCACCATATGCACTTAGTGTGTATGAATTAAAAAAGAAGCTGTTAATGGGCGTAAGCCAGTCAGGTGTTTTTTCTTGACCAAAGCAATATGAGATGGCAGAAATTCCACATCTGTAGGATCTGTGCAAAAGCCATACAAATGAAAAGGTCAAAGAAGCTAAACAGTATCACAAGTCAGCAGATACTTGCTAAGAATAAGCCCCAGAAAATGGTGTAACAAGATGAAATCCACAAACTAAATTTAATTTCAGTTTTGTGATCTGAATAGTGATCTGTATTCAGTGGTGCCCAATAATAAACAATCATAAGGAATTTTGCAGGATCAGTCTTGGTAACTTCACCTTTTCCAGTTCTGTCTTGTGCACCGGAGAACTAGACAACGGCCCATCTGAGTCCACAGCTCCGGTACAGTTGCTGCACACATCTTTTATAACCTTAAAAGACAAGGCAAGATGTACTAATTAGTTGACAAATCCGAGAGATCGCTGCACACATCTTTTATAACCTTAAAATACAAGGCAAGATGTACTAATTAGTCGACAAATGCAAATCCGAGAGATTACACAGGAATGTGAAGGAGAACCGGGAATCACACAAATATTTACTAGTCTGAAAGTTAAAAAACAAAAACAAAAAACGGCAGTGTGAACATCTCTCCATCCACAGGCAACGTGCTGGGCAGGCTGCCACTACCAGAGTCTCTCCCCTGGCCTCCCGCAGGCCTTTCATGTACAACCTGGAGCAGACGGGATGTCAGAGGGGGGAGGTTTCAATTTCCAGGCAAGCCAAGGCTCCAGGCAGCTCCTGAGCAAAGCAACCAACAGAACTGCTAATTTCTAGGGGGCTTTGCAATATGAACTCAGCTCACACCACCAAATTGATTTCATTTTGATGACAAAAAAAAGTGGGATTGGATCCAAGGTCCCGCAAGTCAAAGGTCAAGAGTTTTGCCTAATACACTACCCAGCTGCTCTTAGCAACTCACAGCTCGTACTAAGCAGTATTTTTTGTGGTATTTCTTTCTCTACTTGCACACTGACATAAAGGTATAGGTCAAAGTAATCTTGGAAATGTCTGCTGTTAGAAAGAGTTCAAAAACTAAAACTACATGAAACAGAAGAAGCCATGACAGACAAGGACTTTCACTTTTGCTGATTCTCAAGGGACACCATTAAGTTGGTTTCTTTAATGAGGTTACCACCTTGCAATTATGAGCCCCAAATTGCCCATGCTGAGGAGCATAGGGCTTGACCTCCCACTGCAGCCTCGTGCTGAGCAGCGTTCAGTTCTGTGCCGCCACCAAGGCCTCTTAGAGACGTCTGGATGGCAGAGCCAGGCTGTCTTTAGGCATCTTTTACCAGAAGCCTTGCAACATGTCTGTATGCTCATGTTAACATATGCAGATTTTCCCTTACACTGTTTATCTCAGCTCTGGTTGCCAGAAGAGGATCTGACCTGCAAAACTCTGAATTTCAGGGGAAATGGCAATCTTCCAGCTGACAAAATCCTACTTGTTTTAAACAGAAAGGCAAAGCAAAGCACCAAACACCACCATCATCTTCATTTTAAACTGGACCAATTTGAACACTACAGACCTAAAGATGACACCAAATGTGATTTTATAGCTCCTTTCACAGCACTGAAGTTCCCTTTAAGAATAAAACTAAACAAATCAAATGTTTATGAGCTTAGAAAGACCCTATCGCTGCAATTCAAGGGCACATCATAAATTCAGTGAAGTATATCCCGTATGGCAAGACAGAGCAGCAGCCCCATTTTACAGAAGAAGAACTCAGGAACAAAAGCAAGATTTACTCGTTCACCTCACATCCCATAAGGAATTGACATCACACACGGAAATGAACCCACATTTTTAGACAAGAGCTAATATCTTAAAACGCCTCAGTGTCATTTCTTTATTGCCTGAACTGCCCTGTATCTTCTCTCAGAAACATACACACATTATTATTGAATTCATGGCACTTGGCATGCTTTGTAAGAGAAAATTGAGATATATCTGCTGGAGCATTTTATTGCAGAGAAGCAGATATTTGCACCTCAGACTAAAACTTAGCCCTAAAATACATGAGAAGTCGTTTCTGAGGATTGCTTTCCCTCTCATTGCTGTCCTCCAGCTTGGTGGAAGTCCACTGCTGATTTCCTGCTACAGAAATGTGACTGTACAGCTTCTGGGAACGTTCATTTCTGTCTCCTGCATGACCCTGATACAACGGCTCATGTTTTCTGCATCTGCTCACACCACACAGTTAGTTAATTTTGGCAGAGGCAGATAGTAATGGGAGTTACAGACAGAACAGAGGGAAATGATTTGGCAGCAATAGCGGAGTAGTATGTGCAAAGTCATGCACTCAAGTAAATACGGATCTTATCATACCTCACATATTTAAGGAAAAGCTTTCCTGAAGAGTTTAATTGGGAGGTAATTAAATTTTGATTTGAAAAATGACAGAGTATCAAATGGAAGCTCATGGCCAGTTCTCAAGTAAATGCATATTCAAGAGTTCAACACTTCATTTGGGTTCAAGGGATTCACTGGCAGACTTGTGCATCACCTTCTATGTACACTATAATTGTGTTTGATACACAGCATAGAACTCAGATTTTCAGAGCTCTACAGGATGAAATGGCTTTAATATATAATGGTTGCCTGGATGTACTCTCTGTAATTACGTTTGCAGACAGCTGCCATTATAAATGTGGTTTTCACATGCTTATAGCTTTAACTCAAAACTTTAAGGATAAAACATTCCACCAGTGCTGCCAACTTGCATAATTTTAATCACAAGACTCATAGCTCTTGTCATTTTTTCTATCTTCCATCTCCTGAAGAAATATGAATTAAAAAAAATATAGTATTTTCATAAAAAGAAAAGCTGTGAGTAAGAGTGGGGAAAGGAGATGACAACTTTTATCCATTAGAATGAAATGTATCAAAATATGAATAAAGACATCTCAACAGTTCTACAGCTAGAAAGTAAATAGAAGTGTATTATATTTCAATGTGTTATAATTCAATAAGATGGCATAAGCAGGAAGGCTCTACTGAGTATATTAATATATTTGGAAATATATCCATATATTTCCAAATCTCAAGAAAAACAACCAATTTCATTATTAGTTTATATTTTCACTAATGTAAGAAGGAAATCTTTTTTTTTTCTCATGATAAATACTTTTATGCATAATACACACAGGGTGATCTGTCAGGAAAATCCCACTGAGATTGCAGATAAAATACATATTTACCTACTTAAAATACATGGACAAACATAATGAGAAAAGTGAAGGTCTTTCATTTCTTTGTGCAAATTCAAAGCTATACACATTTAAAACAAAATCCCGTTATTCTATCAGAACAATTTTAAATAAAATCACCATTACGATACTACAGCTATTAGATTTCAGAACTGCCTCTTTTGAACGCAAACTTGGAAAATGTTTGTGCAGCCTGAATTATACTATTTTTCCATATTTATATTATAGAAAGACCTTAAATCCCCAGATGGATGAGGATATACAAATGTGTATCGCATCGACTTCAGTGACATGAGGAATAGAAGGGAAATATTTGCAGTTATAAGGCTGGAAAGATTCTCTGCCCTAGGCAGTTGACAAGGATGGGTGAAGTCAGTGGAATTTTTGCCATGTGGTGTGTCTGGAATCTTTCTCTCTTTAAAAATATCCTGCTATGGAATCACCAACTTTTACTATAAAACCTTCATCCCTGCACTCATCTACAAATTTCTCTAGTTATTGCATTCTATTTTAAATGACACAGCATGACTGGAGGCAAAATACCTGCCCCACCTTTATTTCTTTTACATATGAAGTCTTAAGGATCAAATCATGAGAATTTTCTAGCTACCTTCAAAGGCTCCTGATGAAAGTACCAGCTCTGCAGTAAAATCTGAAAGTCAAGCTCCTTGCTATCCCCAACCCGTGACAAAGGAATCCAGCAAACCCCAAGCAGAAGCCCTCAACTACAGATGGTTCTTTGTGGCTGCACTCTCCGGTACCTGATGAAGAATAAGAGTGCCTGAAACTCTTCCTGCATTTGAGAAAGGTGTAGATCTCTCTCCTGCTGGATACCACGGGATGAGTTCAGTTAGAGACTTGCACACTATAGGGACATGATTATAGTGTCCTCTCTTCTGCCCATGATTGATTTCACAAAACTCATAGGAATTTAATGCCTGTGAGATTGCCGCTGTCTTCCAAACCAAGCAAGGAAAGGATTAAGTTTAAAAAATATTGAGTTCAACAGTGGTTAGTGAGAACACTGATGGTGTGACTGCACAGTTGCTTCATTTCTCTAGGAATCTGGGCTAAAAATCTAACCAGCAAACCAATATGTCCCATCTACCAGTATGTTTCACATATTGGGAAGTGGGAAGAACTGAAGGCCTTGCCACTTGTCTTGAAAAAAGGGCATACAGTAAAGCTGAAATCTGCTTATACACAGTAAAACAGAAGGAAAAGGACTGGTTTCAAAGTTAACCCAGTATTTTTCTCTCCTGTAACACTCCTTGCCAAGTGCCTGAGAAGTAGTGACTTTCTTGGACTTTTCATCATTCCTGCATGATCACAGTCTTATCCTGTCTCTTTTCTGGACTCCTTGCACGACATGTATTTAACTATGCCACTTGGAGCCTTCTCCTTAACAGAGCACCAAAGCTCACTAGCACTTTACAGAAAAGCAGAAGACATGTCCCAAGGAGCTCACAGTCAAGCAACCCACATTATTTAGAGGAAAAGCAGACTTTATTGACATAACCTATGCTGCGGGTCCTAAAAAGAAACTCCCTTCAGCTTGTGTACTGGAAAACATCATTCTCAAGAATTCTCTAGCCTGAAAAGTTTCATCTTCCTCCTTATTGCTGTTTATCTGAGCAAAGTGGGGTGAGCTTCTGGCAGCCAGCAGCCTACTGCTCAGATATCCCCTTAAAAGACCTATATTTAGTGCCTGTATATCTTCTTGAAAATTCTTCTCTGACATACTCAACCAATACAAGCCCTGCACCCTCTCTCCTGCATTATTTCCAAGAAGTGTTTTGCCTTATACGGCCACATCCAGCCCGAGGCAGCACCGACGGCAGCGCTTGAGGCTGCAAACCTCAACTGGGCACAAATTAAAGACCTTTTTACGCTGCATGTAGCAGGGAGAAAGCAGTCCAAGCCACGAGCTCAGAAAGAAGGGAACCTGCAGTAGGAATGCAAGAACTATTTAAGGGCTAAAGCAGGGGACCAAGTGTGAGCCCTCCTCGGTTCTGTGCTGAGATTTGTGTACTTGTGATTTTAGCCACAAACTTAAAGGAAAATTCATCCCTGAGAAATAGCTCCTGGGAGGGTCAATTTGCTTTGCAAAGGCCTTACTGCTCATGATGAAGTGCGGTACAGAAAGGACCCAGCCCATCTGTCCTGGGATAGAGTGTGTTACTGAAGTCACCTAAAAACCAACAAATGCTGCACGGAAATCAGTTATAGAGAGTACACATCCCCAAATGCATTTTTTTCCAGTAAGTTTTAAGGAATGATCATTCAGCACTCGACTTTATTCCACTACAAAATGGAGACAATAACCTCTTTGGGGAACATTATTTAATATTTTAAGTGTTTTAAGATCTTTAGCTGGAAATTCCCATAGGAAGTAAAACTAGCCACATAATGTTTATGATTACAAAGTCAGTTTTGTGCTAATTGAAACTGGCAAGCTAATAGCAGTTTCTTCCTTGGTAAAACCTGGTCTACATGAAGAGTGAACCCCAGAATTTCCCCAGCTCCACTCACTAAGCTATGCGCAGGGAAAAAAATGAAATTTCAGAGGCTTTTACTAAAGGCAACATGCGCTTATCAGACTGTGTAACCAGTCTTACAAGGAATATCACCATGGCTGCACAAGCAAAATAAAGAAAAGTTAATAAAGGGAGGACAAGGAGAAGGAAAAAAAAAAGAAAGAAAGAAAGAAAATGGAGTATTTCAAAATAATAGATGGCCTTATTGCACAGTAACATGGCAAAACATCAGAAATACCTGTATGCAGGAGGCAATGCTAGGAGGAGGGGGAGGCCTTGGGCATGGACACTATGACCATTTCATACATCTGCTGGCTTTCTACAAGCAGCTACTTTAAAACTTCATTTCCTTGACATCCATTGGCTTTCATTTTAAGTTTTTTGTGGTCTAGCTTGAAGGTGCTGCACACAGAACACATTCATCTGCACGAACGAAGCCAGTAAACAAGCATCTTCTTGTAATGTCATGTTCTTAGTAGGTCTTTAATTTTTAAGGCAGCTTTTCCCAAGGATGCTGATAAATAAGTAGCTGGTTTCAGTGCTGGATGTGCTGAGACAAACAGGCAGACTTTAAAACCTTACTTGACCGCAAAGGCACAAAAGTGCACACAGATACACATATACTCAAGCATGCATGGAAAGACCTCATGTTTGGGTCAGAGTGTTTAACTGCATGCATTTTTTTCATGTACATTTTTGTGGGTACATTTCAGGACTCAAGTCTGGAAATTTCCATCACTTTATGTTGCACACTGTATTAGTGCTATGATCTCAACTGCAGCCTGGAATTTGCACTGGTTATGCCTGATGCTCTGCAATCTTACAGAGTTTTGGTGACATCAGCTATCTTCTTTTTCATCAAGCATTTGTTAGCTGGTAAACCTGAAACTCCCCTTGTGGTTTGCAGTCTAGACTTCAATTTACACTAGGTTTATCAGCTGTTTTATGGTGTCATCTTTACCAAAAAAATGTCTAAAATACTCCGGATTTCTTTCAGCTCTTTTTAATATCTCTTGTGTTCCAACTGATATTTTAAAATTGTCTGCCAAAGTAAGTATCTGTTATATCGATTATATGTTACTGTTTTTCAAAAATTATTTAGCTCTCCTGGGAAAAATCTCCTGTCTCTTCCACAGGCATTTTGACATATTCAGACTTGAGCAGGAAGCCTTGACCTGACGATTACACACACGTCTCTTCAGGAGAACCTGTTGTGCCGGCCTGACAACCTGGCCCCACTTCCTACGCTATCTGTGATAGAAAAGGTGTGTTATGATTAAAAATAACAGCTGCAGCGACCTTCCTCAACTGCCAGAGACTCTAAAACTGCCCATTTTATTAACTATAGAAAGCACACGTTGCTGATGGAGAGCTTGGGTGGCAGGAAACCTCCAACTGACAGGCAGGAAAAGCTCCAACCACTACTCCCTAGATAACGCAGTGTGGTCACTTCCTACATAAATCCACACATGATTGCCAGAGCTTGGTCAAAGTGAGGGCTGAATGAGCAAAAAAATAATTATTTTTACAATAAAAATGCCTTGTCCATTTAAAAATGCAAAACCACTGCCTTTTGCTGAAAAGCTGCGCTATCTGAAAGCCTCGGAGCATTTTGCAAGAACTGCATAAACCGTTTTAGGCTTGTTGATGGGAAGGCAATTTGTACCGTACGGAATGGAAGTGCCCAGAGCACAGACGAGCTGGATGCTGGCTGTACGGTGGCATTGCCATCTACCTGAAAGCTGCACTGCTGGAGTTGCACTGTGGGATGGGATTTAGTGAAAGCCTGTTGGCCTGTGTCCAAAATTTTGGCAGACAGCTCACTGCCCAGCTGGTCATCCTCAGCACAAGGAGTTTTGCTAATATTTGGAATACAAATCTAGCAGTGCTCTGTCTGTCTGTGTGGGGAATGCTTTATGTCTAAATAAGAAAAGAAAAATATCGTAATGAAAGAAAGTCTGGTCAGTGCCAATGTATTCAGCATTAGCAAATCCAAGTTTAGAACAAGGCAGGAAATAAAGGGGCAGTTACCATGATCTAACTGCAGTGGAATTCCCCTGGAAAGGAGTATGACCTGTGAATGTCATTTCATTCCAATCAGTATTTTTGAAACATTAGTAGAGTTAACAGAACACTGGGACGGTGTTAGATAAAACAAGGTAATGATGTTATAAAAAGCCCATAAAAGTCATGAATGTCTTCAGTTTCTCTTTAAAAGACAACACTGCGTTTTCTAAGATACAAACTACCAGTCAAAAACAGCCCACACACCCAGCAAAACTCCCAAAGATATATTCAAGTAGGACAAAACAGGAAATTTTCCTATTAATTACAGATTAATTTTCCATTTGCTGAACTAGCCTTCAGTAGATCTTGTACCTCTTAAACTGCATCTTACTTCTCTGCCTTCTACAGAAAAACTATCTGTCATCAGGAAATTCCTACATGTTTTAATTCGATTGTGTTTGGAAAAACACAATTTATTCTTAGCAAGATAAGCACCATATAAGGTTAGATCAGAGCACAGCAAGGCGAATGCCTGATGAGTCTTACGCATTTGGGCTTTCATATGCATTTAAAGGGCTGGATTTAAAGATCTTAAAACAAGCCACTGAAACTGCAGTGGTAGTTTCCCACACTACTTCACTGACCTCCACATCTGAGACTGGCAAAGTCCAACATAAATACTAGTAATCTGGTTAGGAGCTAAAACTGTAGCACTTGTGCTGGGATTTTCCACATTTTTAGACACTGAACAGAAAGGAGTGGAAGATGACACAATCCTGTTTCTCAGAAGTCTACGTTCCCAAACAAACACTAACAGATGACATGCTGCTAAACTAGGATTAGCAGACTTTGTTTAGCAACCAGAAGCTGAAGGATTTTTCTCCATTCAGAGTCATTCAAGTATCTCCTCACGTTTTTAAAAAGATGACTGTGGTGGTGCTATGCCCAATTTCTTCATAGAAGCCTTGGTGGCTACTCGTACATCCCTATCCAACAGCAACCTCAGCCTGTAGCTCACTGAGCGTGTGTCCTAACTAGCAAAGTCTTCTGCAAAATTAGATGGAGGTGTGCAGGGGGGGAAGTTATACCTCTCTATTTTTTTATTGTACAGCGGCATTTTTCTGCATTTCTGCAGAAATTTCTGCAGCCCCAGTTTAGATGGGATGTAAATGGTCTGGAACTGGCTAAAGATTCTATCTGAATCTCAATTTTCAATTTGACTTAATCTGACAAAAGGACTTTCAACAGTGCAAAAGCTTCAGGTCAGCAACCCTACCTTACCTTTAGCCACTGTTCCGCCTGCTCTTTGCTCTGTACTGCTAGAACCAGTGCATCCGCTCCTTGGTGAGTGATTTTCAGCTCATGCTTCTTCTTTTTGCTGTCTTTGGGAATGTATGTGATACTGCAGTCATTCAGCAGCAGCTCCATCTGAGGTTGCTGGTCCTTGGAACTTTTATAACACTAAATAAATATAAAGAATGCAAGTTAAATCTCACCTTTCTGAACCTTTTGGGAAAGCTGTTGTTATACAGAAATGATTTTTTTATACATATATATTTTTCATGCATCCCTTTATGACATACCACAAAGTTTAGCCAGCGCTAACTTCAATTTCTCCTCCTCATCCCCTTTGCAGGGCAAAATTACTTCCAGACTCATATTAATAGAGTTCTCTTATTGCAAGATGGGTACAACATATGGAGGATATTAACTTTCTCTATGTTATCCATATGACTCAACCTTGATATTGATCAAGTAGGCAGAGAACTGTTTAGGATACATGTTCACACGTGGCAGCAGAATATAATGACACAGTTAAAGACTAAAGCCCAGGAGCTCACATGTCCTCTTGACTGTGGACTTGGCATTTTGGGGATCATTTCCTGCAGTGACAGTTCCAGCTACTATTCCCAGCTAGTATCTCAGTAGTGCTCAGCTCCTTAAAGATGTTATTTAGTGCCAGACTGCAGAATAATGTTTAATTGTGTACGTGAACATCCAGTTACTTTGTATACGTATACAACTGGGTTTTGCTCAGATAAATAAGCGTGAAGGCTAAGAAGGTATCTGATATTAAAGAAGACTGATTAGTTGATGCATACATAGAAGGCTGAGCGTAAATGTGAGAAAAGCAGAGAAAAGCCCACACGCTCTTATGTGGCTGCTGGCAGTATTCGTTTCATGATGCAACATCCAGAAACACAGTAGCTGTGAAAAGTGTATCACAAACACACCAGCTTAGGCTGATCAAACAGAGCCCCTCTCAACCAGTCTTTATAAATCATCCATCATCCTTCCTCCCTCTCCAAAGCCCATTGACTCAAATTTCCTCTAGCTTAGTTTGTAATAGTAAAAAAGTTGTTTTCAAGCCACGAAACCCTGTAAAAATATATCATTATCTACTTTAAGAACCTTACAGAGCATATGATTCCCTTTACATTATGTTAAAGATTTTACTTATAATTATACACTACTAAAACACGAATATTTAAACAACTTTATGTGGATAGTAATTCCCTATTAAGAGCTATTTTTAGTATCTAATTCTAATTAAAATATTTTGTTCTATGATCACAGCTGTATTTATAACATAGTGAATTACTAATCCCTAGGAACACATATTTACTTGAATATAATTTGCTTGCATAAGTTACATCTGTAAGTCCTCTTTAAAACCATAAACTAATCTTATGTAGGTTTGTGTTTAACTCCTATTGTGATAGGATTTCCTTAATCACCATTACAGAATTGCTGAAAAACAATCTCTACACAGGAAAAAAAAAAAAAAAAAGCTCTTAAGACTACCCATGTGGTTAAAGGAAAATGGAAAAAAATAATATTTTTATATGGAATAACAAAGACAATTCTAGAAGAAATACTGTGTGACTTCTGAGAAAACCTATTACTTTCCTTCCTTCTTTCTTTACCTCAAACTGTTATCATAGGCTCCTGAAATCTGATATGGTTCTGATTTATGGTGAGATTGATGTGGACTTAGGGTAATGGCATCACAACAGTCTAATACAACCAAATCAGAATCAACATTATAAAAAACCTCAGAAATCACAGAAAACTAGCAAATGAATTCCAACTATATAAGAAACCTCTTATCTAGCTATCTCTACTTCATATGCTATTATTTCCTATAAGGCCATAGGCATATATGCACTTGGAAAGTGAACACAGACAAGTTATCTTGGATCAGTGTAATAACGATGTTCCGCAGAAAATGGTCTATCACATGTTAATCATCTTGTAACATCTGGGTTATGCACTAATTCTTAGTTACACAATCGGTTAATTGTAAGCATCAGCTTGGAAGACAGGGAGAGTCTAAGACCCCAACTGATCCATTACTTTAAGTCTTACAGTGATACAGAAACAAATGTTGCTGTCAATTAGACTCTCGTTTCAAAAAACAAAAGCGCATCTATGAGCCCATAATTTACCAACGTATGGAATCTTCTCCTGGCGTCTATGATCAGAAAAAAAAAGGCATTAACAGATTTACTAAAGGAACAAATACATCCACTTGTTTCTTTCCTTTCCATAATGCAGCTGTGCATCATGTGAATACTGCATCTGTAATTACTGCCGAGCAGATGGCGAAGGTTTAGTTTAAAGTGTATACATTACAGCAGCATATGCTGCCAAGTGAATTCTCAGGGTAACAAGGGACTTTTCTCTCTAACGGTCTGATCCAACAGTTCATACAAAAAGCTCCCTATGAGATTTTTGCCTCCATGGGGAATGAGAGATTGGATTTACAGTTTCAGCAATTTTTTTTCCTAAATGAAATATGTTAGAAGCTAGTAGGCCAGACTTTATTTTGTGCATCAGGGAACTGCCTGAATTTAAGTGCAATAAAAATCAAAGTCCCAAATGGCTAAATGATACTGCTATCATTTCATTTCAGTGCTTGTCTGATTCTTGGATATTTGCAGAATATGACCAAAAGAAAGCTTCCTGTAGAAATAAATACATCATCTAAATGGTACAATGAAAATATGACTAGAGAAAAATAAAATTTACCAGTAGTTTGTTTTCTTTGATAACACACAGAAGTTTTGTCCATTGCCCAAATCGTTTCTTTCTAAGGAGGAAGGCACAGATTTTGGCATCCTTCACCAGATCCATAGAAGCCTCCTCAGAAGGCCACTGATGTCTCATTTTTTTCCCTTTTCCATCCTCCTCCTCTTCATCATAGGATTCATAAGAGCTGCTCATGGCATCCGAGTCATAATCTTTAAGGAAAGCATAGAAGTGACAAGTTAAAACATTCAGCCATGAAAAAAACACTGAAATAACTTAACAATCTCAGCAGGGTTCACTTTAAGTAAAGGCTTTTAAAGGTCAACTGCAAACGACTCTTTTGGTCCTTAGCAATATCAAAATATTTTTGGTTGAATAAGAGATGCTATAAGACGAAGCTGCTCCATTATGAAATTTTATAAAAGACCCATACTGACACTTAGGAAATTTTAGTTAAACAAATGAATGAGAAAAAAATACACAGAATTTTACACAGTGCTTTAACATCTTCAAAGCATCATTTGGCTGGTCCCATCATCTTTTGTGATTCTTTTCCAGAAGAAATACTTTAATCCGGCCCTGTTGCTTAGCACAAAATACACGTATTTTGTACATGTATAAGTACAAAAATATAAGTATTAATACAATGTATTAAGAAACAAACACTGACTATGACAGAGGTCACAAGAGTAAAGCATAAGATTTTATAAAACCCTAAAATACAGCACATGCAGTGATTAATGCTGAATAGATGATGCTCTTCCTTAACCTACAGCCTGCTCGAGTTGAAAGCATTCGGCGTAAACCTCTCTTGTTATGTGCTCAGCCTGAACAGTTAATCCTGCTCCGAGCTTGGGGACGTAATGGCGAAATTCCTTTCTAATTAAATGGTCTTTGGTCAGGCCTTTCATTTTCAATAAAGCAGTCACTTCTGTAGCAGTGACCTTGACTACAAAACTAATTTGTCATTGCCACAGAACCAGAAAATTTTTGATGGAAATA